AATTCAGTGTATAAATAATGGACTAACAATTGATATGAAAAACGTCAGTCAGCATTTCATTCAATGATAAATTGTATTTGCTGACAAGGTCATTGTATCGACCATAGAATTTACGAAATGATGACTTTAAACGAGACTGTTGATATTCTTGTTTCATCAACTTGCTTGTCAATAATTTACCTCGTTTAAGAAATTGTTCATACCTAGAGCATGCTCTTGCGTATCGAATCAACTGAGATATAAATACTCCGTATGCAGGTGATGAAGGTATATTGCATAGGTAAGGAAAGCTGACGATAGAAAAGTTAAAGTCATCACGTTTATCATATAGCTTGGTTGTTAGATTACCATTAGTGTCTTTTTCAAGTAAAATATCTAAGTATGAAGCAGAGGTGTCGGACTATGTGGTATCTTTTATCTCAAGCTCACCAGGATATATCGTGTCGACGTACGAATGGAAATTATCATTATTAATTGACAGTACGTCGTCGATATATCTAAATGTCGAGTTGAAGGCCACAGCAAGTGTTTTCTTCTTTTCACGTAAAAGATTTTGCATAAATTCTGCTTCATATGAATATAAAAATAAGTCTGCTAATAACGGAGCGCAATTTGTACCCATGGGAATTCCAATAGATTGTTGGAATACCTGGTCTCCAAAAACCACATAGATATTGTCAATCAGAAACTCAAGCATCTTCTTGATGTCAACTTCAGAGTACTTATGTGTGAAATCAGAATCTGTTTTAACAAAATAATTTTTCAAATGACCAATGACGAGGTAAGTAAACTTACGAGTTCCATATTTGTTGAAGAAGCAGCTGTCAATGATATCAAAAAGCCTGGATTTTAATTTGTCGTGGGGAATGGTTGTGTATAAAGTTGAAAAGTCGTAAGTGTTTATGCTGTTGATTTTTGTAAAGTCTTGTGATTTCAAATTGTCCAAAAGTTCTTTAGAATTTTTAAGTATCCACATCTAATTTACACCACTTCTTGAATATATAGTTGTACAGTACTTTTGAAGTTTATCCTTCACTACTGTCAATATTTTAGTGAGAAGTAACGAAAGAGGCTTGGTTGAACATTTACTGGAACCTGCAATGTATCTTTGTTTGTAAGGATTCTTATGAAGTTTCGGAATCCAATATATATAAGGTAGTTCAAATTCATTTTGGCTCTGTGGAATATTAAAAGTATTCAGAACTGACAGGTGATTTTGAAGAATTTCTTCCTTAGAAAGAGAATTATGTGTATAAACTCTTATATAGGGAGTGTGGCACGCATGGTCTTGGATTTTTATGAAACTTGGCATGCATTCCTATATTGATGTATGTACCTAAAATTCATAATAAAATGGTTGCTATGGTCCATGGTTACCATGGCAACCAACATACATTTTTCATGGCCTAAAAATCGCTAAATTTTGATGAAAAATGACCCTTTTAGACTTATTAAAAGTCTTGAATTGAACAAGCTATCAATGTGACTTTACTTTTTTGCCAAAACACATAATTTAACAGTGCTTTAGAAAGTTTTTAGTATTTCAGTAACTTTTTCCTCATAGAAAAAATATTCCTCATTTATAGGTACGATTTTTCTTGTGGAAAATTGTAGATTTTAGTCTCTCTTGAAAAGCCTGGTATAAATTTTTGCGGATAGTTTGGAAAAAATGAATACATTGGTTTGAAAGTCCACATATAGTTCTAATATACATGTACACTACAAAGAACTACTTGGTATTCATATTTAGTTTTCTTGTTACCATGGTTACAAACTTATGTTTTTTTCAAAATCATAGAAAAGTACAATACCTAGATACAATCAGGATCCATGTAATTGCCTGAGTATTTTAAAATGGACTAAATCAAATTTAGATATATGGTAAACAATAGCAAAAACAAAGCGAAAAAATCAATTTTCATGACTAAGGGTCAAAGGTCAAGGTCAAAATGGCCGATTTTGATAGATATTTAAGAAAACTAAACAACAATGTTTCTGTGTCATAACTAATATTTGTGTTTTAAACAACAAATGAAGAAACAAAGTTACAGTTCTAGTCAACATTTACTAGCATCATATGAATGTGTGCCCATATGGACAGAAGGTCAAAGTTCAAGGTCAAAATGGTATATAAAGAACTAAGCACGCTAACTCTCAATTCCCGCCTACATTTTGCTACCATTTTATTCAATATTAATGGCAATTTAAATTTTAATGAAATACACAGTTTTAGCTGTTAATCACTTTGAAATTGAGAGAAAATAGGCATTTATTTTCGTTTTTTTGTCTATAAAAATACCCCCCCCCCGTGTTTTAACATTTTATTGCTTTGGCTTTAAATGACCCCTATTTATTTCTAGGTCAAAAGGTAAAGGTAGAAATAGACATTCTTTGTATGCAAACCTCTCATTTCCGAGTGACATCTCAAAAAGCGTTTAGGTTAGCTTATTTTTTGTTCATAACGCTCTATGGTCCCGCCCGCCCCACTTTAAGTGTCCCATCCCCTACCCAACCACCCTCTGACACCTCCCCCCTATTAATCTTCAGAAATTCTTATCTCTTTAAGCAGGGGACACATATTCTTTGAATTAGCTTGTTAATAATGCATTTATACTCGATTATTCGGAATACTGGTATTGTAAATGTTGTATCCTGACCTCGATCCCGTATATTGAATGTATTTTATTGAAAACTGGTTTTACATTCTCCCTTTAGCTTGATGTATAATGTAAAAAAGCTTATATAAGTACAGTTTTCAGGTTTTATTGCTATAAAGGTAGGCATTTAAGAATATTGGACGACTATACAATTTCCATATTGAGTGCAAGGTTTCTTGTATGTAGAGAATTGCGCTACAAGCAGGTAAAGACACTCTTCTGCTGTTTTAGTAAACTAATCCCTTGCTCCTAAATGTACATTTTTTAAACCATATTTAACAAGCCGAACTTTTCAAGTGACAGTCAAAATGTGTTTTCCAGTGACTTTTTTTCATAGAAGTTGACGGAAAAATCTAATTTACTTTGAAATATCATTCTTAAAAAAATGAGATTTTAGTGATGTTGATGGTAAATATTTCAACACAAATATGCCTTGATCTACGCAAAAGATCTGATATTCCCAAAGTTTATAATAATCTGTTGTAAACATCTGCTGGACCTGTTCGAATAATCTGCTTTTGTTCTTTAATTAACTGGGGTTTTTTTTGGGGGGGGTGTCAGAAAATTATTTTCATTATTAATAAAATACTGCTAGACAGATTTAATATTGTACTGCTATAAGTTTGAATCATAATGTATCTTATTCCTGAGAAATGATAAACCGTTAACTTAAATTTGATTCACAGACAATTTGTGTTTCTATGCAACTACCTCAATCATCAAAAATATATTTTTGACTGGTTAACAAAACATTTTATACTTGTTTATCCTGTTTAAAAACTACATAATATGACTGCGTTTACTATGAGTAAGGGGACGAACATTGATCCAGAAGGGGGGGGTATTAAGGTTTATTTTCATGGCAGGACATATCATTTATTTCCTAGTTGTTTTTTAGGGAAAATTATTAATTTTTTTCTTCACAGAAAAACGTCTTAAGAGAAAAGACAAAAAAAACCAATATATAAAATGCCCAAACTCTTTTTCATTTAGAAAGGGGAGGGGGGGGGGGGGGGCTGGAATAGGTAATTGTATAGGTAACAATTTTCTAACCCATGTATAATATGTATTATACCATGGGTTTCAAAAAATATTGCTGAATTTGAAATAACGACCTTTGAATGGGAATTGTAGCTATTATTCAGTATAATCCTCAAAAAGGGTCATCTTTCTTTCACCCAAGGACATATTCAGTTTTTTAAAAATTATTAGTCTCTATAGTAACATTCAGTTTAAAAATTCATTTGCTTTCTAACGCCGTATTCATTGCAATAAGACACAGTAATTCTTTTTAAAAAAGCAAATTCATAATACAAGTAATTCTGATATTTCAAGTTTATCTTGAATCCCGTTTTCAAACTCCTTAGGCCTTGGGACTTATGCATATGTACAGAGCTGATTTCCTGAACTATGTAGTCTAGCTTGTAAATTTCACCATTTTTCACATATCAAAATTTTCTTTTGCATGTAGGATATAAACAGAGGCTAAAATTTGTATGCAAATTAATTTAACAGGAAAAACAGTTGATTTTACTTGAATTCCTGGATATACAGAGCTGTATGCTGAAAACATATAAACAACTTCCAGTCATTTTTGTACAATGATTTTTTTTTATCTTTCTCACTGACGAGCCTACAATTATCAAAGGGAGATAATTCAATTTCAAAGTTATTGTCTGCTATTTTAATCAAAGAATTCTCATATTTATAGAGAGAATACCAACAAGGTTTTAACATGCCTTTTAAAGTAAGTTGTTATATTTCTAATTTCTGTGAGTAACATGAATTGAGGTAGCCGCATTTCATTAAGAACATTCCCAAATATTGCATTTTGTTAGAAAAAAATCAACTTTAGACACCGTTTCCAAGGTAACTACTCAACATCCATATTATCTCACAATATTTTTTGAAGTAGTTTATGAGGTGGTACTTTCTAGCCAAATTAAAAAAAAAATTGACTATGCGTGCCACACAAGTTTAAGTGGTTACAGAGAATGGGTATTAACAAATCATTAGACAAACTGTACAAATTCAGGTGTAGTTTGTCTAAGACAACAAAGACGAAAGTTAACAACTAAGTACATATTAAAATAACTCTAACATGTCTAATTAAATCTAATATGAAAATCAAATCATTATTAATTTGACAACTTATCAATTAATATCCTTTTTTTAAAAACATTTCTTGTTACATAACACAAATTAGAATTCAATTTACCAGGTAATGTATTTATACTTAAAAGTTATCACTATGATAATTCCTGGTTAATGTTTTGTAATTACACATAAAACAATGACTATAATATATTGTACACACTAAACATTGTAAACAAACATTATACTTCAGTATAACTTACCAGTCAGATTATCCCCTCCATAGATAAGTCTGTAGATGTTCACTGTGTTGTTGGTAAATGATCCTACCCAGACAGAGCGGGTGATGTCATCATAACTCAGGCTCCATGGTTCGTCTATCCCGTGTTGTTCTGTATCTAACTCTGTCAGGTAGTTTCCATCTTTATCAATGATATGTACTGTGTAGGTTTTAGAATCACACAGCAGGATGTGTGACAGCGCGTCAGTACAGATTCCATGTGGTACTAGTCGTGATCCTGATGGAGGACCTGTGTAGGAGAACCGGTATCTCCCTCTACTGTCTGTCACAACTACACCACACCACCTGTCAGACACAATAACATCTCCATTGCGGTTCTCTGTGATGTATCCAGGATATCTATACAGTCTCTGACCTGTGTTGTCCTGCAGTATGGTCTGTATGTGTCGTCCTGTGTAAGTGTAACGCTTTACCTGGCCTGTCCATGTATCAGTACTTATCCCGACCAGCAGGTCTCCAGTGGAGGGGGAGCTGTAGACGCACTTTGGTTCCCATAGTAATGTGTTGTATTGTATTACTGTGGTCTTTTCTTTTTTTGTAGACAGTTTTATGATGTTACGGCGACTGTCTACATAAATCACACCACTATCACGTGTCACAGTATGTACTCCAGCACCATATTGATATAAATCTGTCACTTGATCTAGTTTGTCTCCTGTCGTAGTTAAGATGAGATTGCCTTCACCATCACTGATCCAGACCCGGTCTGTAGACACGTGGGTAATGTGTTTACACAGACTAACACCTCTCACTGTGACAGATTTGTGTAATACTGCTGTATACATCCCTGACACCAGACTTTAATTTCCTGTGACTTTATAATCCTGTGTTGATTTCAGTCAGGGAGATCTCTCTGTAAATTACAACATCGTGTTATACATGCAATTATCTACATCAAGAACAGGCCTCTCTTTATAATGTACTCATTTAAATGTCTTGGTTTTCAGAACTTATATCTATATATGTTTTGGCTGTAAGAACTTATACAGTGTTAAACAATTAAATAGAATTAACAGATAAACATAAATACCTTGACACTTTCTTCTCAATGGTTTGTCTTCATTCATAGCAGCCTCCAAGTGTTCTCAATTAAACCTGTCTAAGAAAGCAATATTCATAATTAAAACACATATAAATTGTGAAAAACTGTTCAGATTCTTATAGATGTTAACACTAATCTTAGTCATTTAAAACCTGACATTCTATAACATTGTCTTTACAATTCTGTGTGTAAACATTTTAATTCACAGAAGAAAAATCATGATAAAATCTGCATTCCTACCATTACTAATTCATAGTTATTACAATAAAGTGTTAGATAGGAAATAAATGTTAATAGGAAAGTTCTACGGTAACTTTAAGATATAAAGATCATGATAGATAGGTATGATTACTGTGTATTTTAACACAGTTATAACAAGAGGCCCATGGGCCACATCGCTAATATGAGCACACTGGCTAAGATTGATTGATTGATTGTATACTGTTTAATGTTCCTCTCCAGAATATTTCACGGATATGGAGATGTCCTCATTGCTGATGAAGGGCTGCAAATTTTAGCCTATGCTCGGCACTTACGGCCTTTGAGCAGGGACAGATCTTTATCGTGCCACACCTGCTGTGACACGGGGCCTTGGTTAATACGGTCTCATCCGAAGGACTGCCCCATTCAGTCGCCTTTTACCACAAGCAAGGGGTACTGAGGACCTATTCTAACCCAGATTCCCCAGGGAATCACTGGCTTAGAAATAAAAGTTTTTTTTCAATGGCTAAGAAATAAAAGGAGAAATCAGTTCAGTATTGAGTAGTTAAGATTTAGATGGGGGGGGGGGTCTGAAATTTTAAACTACCAACTACCCAATGATGCTTCCATACAATAAATGCAATTTTTCTGTTTTTGAGCAGATGATTTTTCCCTATTTATTCATTTGAATCCCCCCCCCATTGTGACACAGTCCTAACCATGGTAGCCCTCATTTGAACAAGTATGACTTTCTACTACCTGAGGATGCCTCCATATCTATATGATTAAACATTGCTTTTCTGTTTTTGGGAAAAAAAATTCCTTGATACTTATAAATTTCCAATTGTGGCCCACCCTATCTACCACCTACTTCACATAAATGACTTAAACGAACTTGAATCAACACTAAGCAGGTTGGGGGAAACGTAAATTCCGCTATAATAGTGGTATCTCACTATTATAGTAAAATTACGCTATATTTCCTGGCGTGGATACCCCCAATTTCATCCAATAACATGCAAGGTGTTTAAACCGCTAGTCATCTTGGGAATTAAAATAAACAAAAACTGTCATGCTTGCATACCCGTAACTATGCAGACAAAAATAATATTTTTCTTGTTTAATTCCATAAAGCCTCTCCAGTCCGAGTTGACAATTGTAACAAGCAACAATTTGTGCACATTAATGAAGAATAAGTGTGATTCAAACAAGCTTAAATACCCCCGCAATCATCGGTTGCTATGTTCAAAATGCAACTTCCGTTAAAAAAAGAGTGCTCGCATTTTTAAAAGCAACGGTAGAAAATTTATTAAAATTCAAAACATGCAAGCATGACAGTTTTTGTTCATATTAATACCCAACATGACTTGCGGTTTAAACACCTTGCATGTTATTGGATGAAATTGATGGTATCCACTGCAGGAAATATTTATTGTTCTTAAAAAGGAGAGTTTTCAAAAAAAAAATGATTTTCCAATGTATATATTCCTATATAAACCTTTAATCATCAATTGTGGCCTTGCCCTACCCCTGGGGGTCATGATTTGAACAAACTTGAATCTACTCTACATGTGGATGCTTCAACATGACTTTCATGTTTCCTTGACCAAGGGTTTTGGCGAAGAAGATTTTTTAAAGATGCAATTAATTTTTCGCTTATTCATAATTATCTCCCCTTGGAAGAGGGCGTAGCCTTTCATTTGAACAAATTTTAATCTCCTTCATCCAAGGATGCTTTGTAGCAAGTTTGGTTGAAATTGGCCCAGTGGTTCTTGAAAAGAATTCGAAAATGTGAAAAGTTAACAGACAGACGGATGCTAGACAAAATGTGATAAGAATATGGATATGGAAATAACGAACAGTATTCAATCTCAACGTCCATTAAACAAATATACAAAATAAGAGCAGAGCAAACACGGACCTCCGAAACATCAGAGGTGGGATCAGGTGCCATGGAGGAGTGAGCATCCCCTGCCGACCGGTCACACCCGCCGTGTGCTCGTTGTCATAATCAGGAAATAACGGAAAAAATCCGTGGTCAATTCAGTGTATAATTAATGGACTAACAATTGGTATGAAAAACGTCAGTCAGCATTTCATTCAATGATAAATTGTACTTGCTGACAAGGTCATTGTATCGAGCATAGAACTTAGGAAATGATGACTTTAATCGAGACTGTTGATATTCTTGTTTAATCAACTTGCTTGTCAATAATTTACCTCGTTTAAGAAATTGTTCATACGTAGAGCATGCTCTTGCGTATCGAATCAACTGAGATATAAATACTCCGTATGCAGGTGATGAAGGTATATTGTTGCATAAGTAAGGGAAGTTGACGATAGAAAAGTTAAAGTCATCACGTTTATCATATAGCTTGGTTGTTAGATTACCATTAGAGTCTTTTTCAAATAAAATATCCAAGTATGAAGCAGAAGTGTCGGACTCTGTGGTATCTTTTATCTCAAGCTCACCAGGATATATCGTGTCAACGTAGGAATGGAAATTATCATTATTAATTGACAGTACGTCGTCGATATATCTAAATGTCGAGTTGAAGGCCACAGCAAGTGTTTTCTTCTTTTCACGCAAAAGATTTTGCATAAATTCTGCTTCATATGAATATAAAAATAAGTCTGCTAATAACGGAGCGCTATTGGTACCCATGGGAATTCCAATAGATTGTTGGAATAGCTGGTCTCCAAAAACCACATAGATATTGTCAATCAGAAACTCAAGCATCTTCTTGATGTCAACTTCAGAGTACTTATGTGTGCAATCAGAATCTGTTTTAACAAAATAATTTTTCAAATGACCAATGACGAGGTAAGTAAACTTACGAGTTCCATTTTTGTTGAAGAAGCAGCTGTCAATGATATCAAAAAGCCTGGATTTTAATTTGTCGTGGGGCATTGTTGTGTATAAAGAAAACTCAGTTGCGTCTTTGGCTCAGGTGAGCTAAAAAACTAAATTAAGGCATTAATTAAAAAAGCCAAAATGGTGATTTCTTCCTCTTCTTTAGCTTTACATACTTCAACAGCACATCCTGGGAGACCTGTCAAAATAAACTCAGTACAATGAGTATATATTTCTGTATAACTTCAATGTCTTGAAAACTAATGTTATTGAATGATATATGGAAATGTAGACCTGGATTTTGTCAAGTCTTTAAAATACCAACCCCTTATATTAAACAAGAGGCCCATGGGCCACATCGCTCACCTGAATACTATAGCTAGGGAAAAAAAAAGCCAAAATCACTCAGTATTGAGTAGGTTAGACGGGGGGATCTGATGTTTTAAACTACCAACTACCCAATGATGCTTCCATACAATAAATGCAATTTTTCTGTTTTTGAGCCGATGATTTTTCCCTATTTATTCATTTGAATCCCCCCCTCCCATTGTGGCCCAGTCCTAACCGTGGTAGCCCTCATTTGAACAAGTATGACTTTCTACTATCTGAGGATGCCTCCATATCTATATGATTAAACATTGCATTTCTGTTCTTGGGAAAACAATTCCTTAATTCTTATAAATTTCCAATTGTGGCCCACCCTACCTACCCCCTTCTTCACATAAATGACCTAAACAAACTTGAATCAACACTAAGAAAGGATGCTTATATAAAGATACGACCAATCATAGCTTTATTGTTCTTATAAAGGAGAGTTTTAAAAAATTTGATTTTCCAATGTATTTATTCCTATGTAAACCTTTAATCGTCAATTGTGGCCTTGCCCTACAGCTGGGGGTCATGATTTGAACAAACTTGAATCTACTCTACATGAGGATGCTTCAACATGACTTTCATCTTTCCTGGACCAAGGGTTTTGGCGAAGGAAGGATATGGAAATAACGAACAGTATTTAATCTCAACGTCCATTAAACAAATATACAAAATAAGAGCAGAGCAAACACGGACCTCCGAAACATCAGAGGTGGGATCAGGTGCCATGGAGGAGTGAGCATCCCCTGCCGACCGGTCACACCCGCCGTGTGCTCGTTGTCATAATCAGGAAATAACGGAAAAAATCCGTGGTCAATTCAGTGTATAAATAATGGACTATCAATTGGTATGAAAAACGTCAGTCAGCATTTCATTCAATGATAAATTTTATTTGCTGACAAGGTCATTGTATCGACCATAGAATTTACGAAATGATGACTTTAAACGAGACTGTTGATATTCTTGTTTCATCAACTTGCTTGTCAATAATTTACCTCGTTTAAGAAATTGTTCATACGTAGAGCA